ACACACACACACACACACACACACACACACACACACACACACAGTTACACACAGCTACATGTAAATAAGAATCAAGTAATCTAAAAAGAAAACCCCCAAACAGTAAACATTGAGCCATCTGACCCAGCTGTATCACTCTTGGATGCATAGCCCCAGCACACTAAGTCAATATCCACAGAGACACTTGTTCGTCCATGTATAATTCCCTTTTGCAATCACTAGAAAATGGAACCAGCCTAGATGTCTATAAATAAAGGAACAAATGCAGAAAACATAGTGGATGCACACAATGGAATTTTACTCAGCTTTCAAGGAAACTGAAATCATGACATTTGCAGGAAAATGGATGAAACTAGAAATTATATTAAGGGATGTAGTCCAGACTCAAAGATAAATACCAATGTTTTCTCTTATACGCACTCCTAGATTTTAATATACATAGTATATACGCATGTATGTATGTGTGGGTGTAGGCCATGAGACTAGAAAAGGAATGGACTATGAGAGTGAAGACAGAGGTCTTAATAAAGAGAGACAGGGTAATTAAATGTACAGAATGAAAGCAGAAGGGGGCCATTCAGGGGAAGGAGGGGACCATCAGGAGTATATGCAGAGGAATGAGGAGGATGAATGAGCATTATAAAGAACAAAGCATATGTAAAAACGCCATAATAAACCTTTTACTTGGCAAGCTAATTAAATAAAAGCTCCGTGGATGAGAAAAGGGGGAAGGGGCTGACAGAAATATTCCATAGTGAGATCACAAAATTTAATATCACTACCCAGAACACGAGTTCTTTCACTCTACCATAACCTATGCTCTCCTGAAGAGCACTGGAAACATTATGCCAGGTGGACAGGAGGAGCATAGATAAACTCTATAATAATCTGGCCTCTATTAAATATAGCTCCATACTTTAAATACTCTGTTGAACTAAGTTTAGTCTCTGGGGTTTGGTTTAGTCTGGCCTCAGAGGCTGCGCTTTTCCCAGCTCTTCCATTTTAGATGGCACTTTGGTGTTTAGGGGCAGGAAAAGCATCTTTGTGGAAGGTGATGCTGGGTAAGGGAGAGGCACCCTCGGAGGTACCTAGGCAAACTCAAGACTCCAGGAAGGGGTTCTAGACCTGTTCCTACAGTCTTTTCTCCACTGCCTTATGGGGCTTCCTTCAGA